AAGAGCTGCTGGGTTTGTTTGAAAGCCCTGCAGAGGAGGGGTTGGGAGTGCTGCTGATGCATCTGTGCCGTGGGAAGGATCCAGGAGGACAAACTGTCCGAAAAGCAGCGTTCCTGGGCGTGAGGCAGGCTGGGAGGGTGTGTTCAGGGCCACCGGGGGAATACAAGGCTCCCTTCTGGTGTGCTTCTGCCTTTTCAGGTGGAATAAGGAGACAGTGCCATATGGGAGCAGCTAGAAAAGAGAGGTTTAGCTCTGAAGTGTGGAGGAAAGCGGGAAACGCCGGCATGGGTGGGACTTACCTGAAGGCAAAGCAGTGAGTTAGGCTGGTGAGCTTCGCAGTGCCTTGGGTGGAGGTGATGGGGCAGGCCAGCTGTTGAAAAAGCCAGGAAGAAAGCTGAAGTGACTGAGAACACAGAAGGTTTGGGTGAGGATTCAGGGATGTGAATAGAAAGGGAATGCTTTGAAGAAGAAGGGTTGATACTTGAATGAGTTATTAAAGAAGGTTTACACCATAAACAAAATACAGGTCAAATTACTGTGAAGACTTTTAACTTTGAGAGAGGAAGAGGGACTTGAGAGGGCATGAGAAAGGAAATTATTTTTCTCCTTAAGGTCTGAATGGAATCACACCGAAAGCCTGTGTGGTGGAGTCTCAGAGAATGACCAAGAGGTGGTACTTAGGGAAAGCTTTAGAAGGGTTAATTTTGGTAATGCCACAGAGGTTTTATCTTTTTTTTCTTCAAGTTCTTACTTAATAATATTTGCAGTTCTGTTTGCTTTTCTGACAGCCTTGTTTCAGATTGCAGCAAGGAGCTATGTGGACCGTTGACGGAGGAGTGCTGTATTAAGTTATTAGCTGGTCTGAGAACCTTCTGTCTTAAGCCAGATCATTTAAGCTCCCTCAAAGTCTTTTATCTAATATGAATCAATATATTAAGTAGATTCTGGAGCATACTTCTATTTTTAAGCTATTAAGCTATTTTACTGTTCCTCTCGGTTTGTCAAAGCCTAGTGTTGGGCTACCCAACTGGCAAGCCCAGGTACAGCATGCTGTGTGAATTGCTCTCCTCTTATTTTTTGCCATGATTTGCTGGCTTGTCTCACAGATTGTCCTTAAATTCAAGGTAGATTGGCGGTATTGTCACAAGCACTTTACTTTTGCATCTGTGATGCAAATTCCCCAAAAAATGCTTTGAACAAGTTGTCCTGTTTTTGAAAGGAACAGGGAAGCAGGAACACCATCCTTTCTTTTTCATACCCAAAATAAACATAAGTACTCACTTCTTGCTGGGAGTAACAGGCATGTCGGGTTCACGGTTGGTTTGTTCTTCCCTTTTTTCTGAGAATAGTTTAAGAGAACAATCTTGCTAGTTATAACGGCAGTTATTAATATTGGCACTAAGCAGCTGTGGATAATTGAGCCTTAGAGCCCAACTTTATATTCTGTTTTACAATGCATTTGTCAGTCTGTATACAACATTATAGCTGTGTATATATATATATATATGAAGCTTTCCTGGCATTCCTCTTGAGACTGTAGTTATTGTTCATCATACAAGCAAGAAAAATTTGTATTTTAAATGTAATATGAGAATTTATTATAGCAAGAATGCAAGCACTTGGGATTTTGGTTTTGTTAGGAAGGAAAGCTTGTCTTTTGGTTTTGAATGACATTTAGGGTAATCAGCACTACTACAACTTAAGTGCTTAATAATGGATCTTAGCACTGTGTTTCTGAGATTTCCTTTTTTATAGTGAGGAGAGAGAATAGTGTATATGAAATAACATGAATGCCTCTAGGCTTCGCCCCTCCTCCTGTTCTATGGGAGAGTTAGGCTGGTAATTCTGAGATTAACGAGGCAAAATGATTTACAGATGACTGTTTATGCTGCATTTTTCCTGGTCTGCTGGGCAGCTAGGATTACTCTCTGAACTGTTGCTCGGAGAAGCTGCTAACAGTATATAAGCTGACATTTTTGGAACTGATCCAATCATCGTGGAACATGCAGAGTTGCTGCAGAAGTAAAATACTCCCAGTGGAATGATAAGTGGGACTTGTGGGTATGCACACAATGCGAGAATGTGAGGGAATGGTTCCTGTGAGAAGGGAATTTCAGTTCTTCATTCAGTCCTCAGTGAATTCTCATCACTTATGTTTTTTTTTAATGCTAAACCATGCCTGCCTTTGTTTCATGCTTTCTTGTGTCTTGGAAATTCTATCTGCTGCTGCTGCAATTTAAAATGGATGAATTTCAGGGTACTTTTCAAGGTGCCTCATGGATCTTCAACGTTAGCAGATTTGTCGACTGTAGAGCCAATTCTTGACACTGGCTTCTTTGGTCTGCTTGAGGAATCGTTTTGCTGCAGTGTGAAAGTAAAATCTGGGGATTTTAATTCAAATGTCCCCAAATCTGTAGGAACTTAACTAGCATATAATGATCTGCAGGTTGTATTTAATTTTAAAAGGTTGCTTTTCTATACAATTCTTAATGCTCTGTAGTTATATTACTGTAACATTCACCGAGTTACGGAATATGTAATTTGCTGCAGGCAATTTGGCAGGAATATTATAGAGTCAGGAATAGAGTCTCTTCTTCAAGACTACTGGGAAATACCTGCCCAAAGATAGCATCTTTGTGTCTGCTGTTTTGTGGGTTTTATGTTCATTATAGATTTCACTCATATCAAAAATAACAATCTTTGAAACATAACAGTATCAGCTGGTATGATATCATAGAGATGTATTGTAATAACATAACATCTTAGATATGTTAACAATGCCACTAGTTTGTTTCGCTCAGTAGTTTACTCATTGGCCTTAGCAAAAGAAAACTCTTGGTTTAATTAATAGACCTCTGTAGTGTTTTACCAATTTTTCAGTAGCAGTTTACAGCTTGGAAACTATTTTTGTGAGAATTAAACTGTTTTAAACATGACCAGGCTCAGATTTAGTGAGGGGTGTATCTTCCCCCCCCCCCCCCCCCCCCC